TGATGGTGATGATGGTGAGGATGATGTGAGGATGATGATGATGATAGTGATGATAATGGTGTTACTTACTTCTTACTAACTTTTTAGTTACAATATGTAAAATAACTGCCTCTGTTTAACCCGTCAACTCATATAAACCTGAGTGTGACTTCTCGTCAGTTGTAAATGAGCACAGCTCTAAAGCTCACTGGTAAAAGTTTGTTGTAGCATATAACATCATATCAGGCCATTTTTCACAATAACAGACTTGCATGGTAAAATCAATGTCTTTGCTGTCTGCTAAAAGTGATGCACTGTAGGGGAATCCTTCTGTTGAGGGACAGAGCATCATCTTGTGGAAAAGCCCCGTGAAAATCACACACAGTCTTGACACCAAAGTGCCAGCAGGGGGAGCCGCAGGTCCACACATTGCAACGCAAGTGCACAGTGACCTCCTGTCGAGCGGTAATATTGCAAACATCTCGTGCCTTGGCTTTTTAGTTGTCTGGGATCTTTTATCAGATCCGTTACTGCTTAAAAACAACTGGTGTTTGACGTGAGGATCATTTTTGTTGCTCTCTAATGTGCACCATCACACCTCGTAACAGTTTTACAGCCTCAAGTGTTTTTAAATAACTGCTGATGCAAACTGGAAGAAATACACCCCAATGTATATCTCTGATAAGCACGCCCGTCCTCTGCAGTAGGGACATTTGTAGCCAAGCTTTTCACAGGGCAGGCGTGGTAAATGAGCAGCCCTCACTGATGGGGATGGCAACATTAATTGTGGAGCAGGCTGTGGGTCTGAGAACTGGGGCAGACACCTGCTGCAGAAGTGGGTGAAGATGAGGAATGCTGCCCTAGATTGCCCACCAGTTCACCTTAACCCATCTCGCTAAATTAATCAACTCTTCAGAGGCCATCCGGTTGTCTGGGGCAGGCATCCAAGGGAGGGGCGGGGGGTGTTAAGGCACAGGTCACACAGACCTGTAGGAGCCTGCTCCATGTAAGAGAGAGAGGGAGGAGGAACAATAACAGGCTGCAATGGTGCAGAGGCACTGGGATTTGCACTTGCCCTACAGCGTGGAGTGGTAAGATGTAGAACGTCTTCAGCCATCTGCCTCTTTGTCTCGGCTGGTTCTCTCCTGAGATGAGTTTGGAATGTGGTGGGGTTGAGATGCTGCTGAGGAGGGTGATGTTGATGAGGTGCGCTGAGACAGAGGGGGGGTTCGGGAGCCCCACGGGGAGCAGAGATGACTAACTCACTACTCCTCCTAATCTAGGACAAGCACACCTAGACATCCTTCATGACTCTAATGTTTTACTCGTGTCGGGCCAAAAATATGTCCACTGAGGTTAGCCAAAGTGGGTCGCCCAGTGGCTTTTTTTGGATCACAGAAAAAGAAATTGTGCCATCTAAATGATCGCTGTCTTCTAAAACCCACCCTGGATGGCAAAAAAAAAAAAAAATCGGTCCCCGCCAGTTTATTTTTACAAGTATCAAACTGGGTCAATGACACCACAGAATATGACAAAACCCAATTTAAACAGTGTTTAAAAGCTCCGAAAAAGCAATGTAGCAACACTCAAAATCCTTTTTCAAAACATTTTATTGGTCTTATAGAAAATAAAGTAAGCTGTATCAACAAACATACAATATATACATCAATAACTTAGACACCTCAGAGAATCACGTTTAAATCCACAGTTGTTACTGTATATATGAATACATAGTACTTATCTACAGATTGCAAAAAGTACAATAATTTAATTTATAAATAGTTACAATTAACTATTGTCTGTTTTCATACAAAGTACTACAATATTTTATTACAACCCATACAGAAAAATAACAAAACAGATTATTAACTTTGTATTACTCGCTTTTGTCAGATTTTTATACCTTTGAAACACAGACCCGCTCCATGGAGTAAGAGGGGGAAGAACCTGCACAGTCAACTGTTTACAAAGCATAATTTCATGTAAAAACAAAAGCCAATGTCTGGAGAGCTACTAAATTCAACCACCACACAAGTGCTGTTATTTTTCCTTTCTAACAGGTTGCTTGTGAAAACAAAAAACAAACAAACAGAAAAAAAAAGGAAATAGCCACAACCGATTAAAATGTTAATCTGCAGAACAAATTACAGTGTTAAGATCAATTCCAAATACACACTCAACATGTAATGAGAACAGAAACGCTGTGAGTGGTGCTACAGCAAACGACAAGCATTAATGACTGGTGTAGCAGCAGAGGAACCTCTATCACACAAACACGCACACACATAGACCCACAAAACCTGGCATACCATAGGGAAATAAAAAAAACAAAACAGATATTGCAAGTGGCCCTTGTGATAGAATCTATTGTTGCAGTCATTTTACAAAACCTAAGACACTGTATACTACAGCAATATCTTTCAGTCCAATTTATGGATCTGCAGTTCAGTTAATTTAAGACCAGAGTAATGAGGGAGTAAGGCTCAAGTGCAACCCCATGATTCCTTTAAATAATCTCTATACACTGTTACACTATGTTAGCTACTATAAACAAGGGCCAGGGATGCAAAGTCTGAGGGCAAAATAAAACTTTATACAAACTAAAAACTACAAAACAGCAAGGTTTATTAAATAACAGACCATAGTCACTTTGACAATATTGATTACTCTTACATCTACTCTTTCACACCTTTTCCACTGAGTTGCATATTAAGGGTCACTTTTCACAATGGTGATTAATACCTACTGTAGCTACATACTATACAACCGTATGTGTGAGAAGGAGAGAGTCGTCATCTCTGGCGGAGATTGAGATATTGGTCGACGGTGCCGCTCGAACACCTTAAAAGACACTTGACACGAAAAAGATTCACTCCACAAGACAGCCACAGCAATTAACGACGCCAACATCAATACTGGGCTATGTCAAGAGTCGGATACATATTTTTCCCACAGTTAACCAGTCAATGTAGACAGCTAAGCATGTTGACGAGATGAGGATAGCATAGGCAACTGGCGCACAGACAATATAACCAGCGCCCAGGTCTCCGGCATGGAGTTTTACTGAGGCGCTGCTTTGAGAGTGACTGTAGATTAACACCTCGCCGACACTGTACGACGTTCTGACCAGCAGGAGTGAGAGTGAGACGTGGATGAAGTGCATTCTGTTAATGTCATTACACAACTACTTTCACCTTGAGGTGTAAAACTGCTTCACTGTTAAATTCCTTTTAGAGGACCAGGAGAGCGACGCGACACTTGGCACAGAGGGAGCGCTGCTGGCAGCTGTTGTTGATTGTAATTCTACGTGTCCGTGCTGTGTCTCTTTCTGAGTGAGGATTGAAGCCCTTTATGACATGCTTATTATTATTTTTATCAAAAAAAATGAACAGAGCTGCCATCCCCGCTTTTCATCTAGAATCATTTGTTCATTTTTTAGAGTAACCTGTTTTGTCCTGAGCAAAACAAGCAGGAGCTTAGTGCATACAAAACCTCAGCCAAACTCTACCGCTTTTAATCGGACAATCTGAAGACCAGTGGGTTAATTTACACGAGATGCTGCGCCATTTGGCGACTTATCCTATGAGTTCACTGATGCAATTTTATAGTTATAGTCTTGAGAAGTTGCAGGGTTTCTCGTCACGATTGGAAGAGACAAAAACAAACACAGGTAAACAATAAAATCAGTTGTTAACTTCACATTTCCTTTAGTCTGTGGGAAGGTAAATTTGATTGGTTGCTTGTTCTATTTCTGGGATCTAATTCAGACTAATTAAATGGCTGAAGTAAATACAACAATTAAATGTGCCCTTTAATGGAGTCATTTACTTTCAGGTTGCAGACGATGTATTTAGAGGGCATCCAGCACCAGGTGCAACCATAATTCAGATTCTGTAATGACAATGTCACTTTGAGCTTCAGGTAAAAGCCTTTGAATTAATGTCCACTAATGCCATTTCACCCAATTCTGTCTTATACGGGTCAATGTAGTAAACTCTTAATGACAATATGATTTGTAACACCGAGGAAGCAGAGGATATCACAGATGCCAATACGCACAAAGACAATTGACCTTGTTCACACCACCTAGTTTAGCTCTACAGATTTGTATTTGTTTTAAATAGCACAGCATTGACATCTATACAGTGAACGACACTGCCAACTTGTCACTTACACATCACATCACGCGCTACCCCACAGTACGCGCCTAGTCACTAGAAAAAGCTATCAGACTTCAATAGTAAGCCACTTTCGGTACAATTGCAAAAAAGATGTCACAGGATTTTTTTTTTAACGTTTTCTTTTTCTGTATTTCTATAAACAATGGAAGGTTATCTACCAAGTAATAAAAATCAAGAACCCAACCTTAGACAAAGTTTTCTACACCTTAACAATTCAAACAGTAAAGCTTGTGTAAAGATTTTTTTTCTTTTTGGAAATATCTGAGGGCCCTGTCGACAAGTAATTACAAAAAAATGCAATATATATCTGTTGAACAAAAACAACTCCAACATATTTTCTTTATGAGCAAAAATTATGTTTCAAAAATGTTTGTGGATTTCACTGTCCCCACAATACATGAGGATATTACTGTGATAACATTCAGATTTTTAGATATTGTAGAAGAATCTTTTCATATTGGAATGGCACTCAGCTCTGAAGCAAAATCATTACGAAATGCTGATCAGCTTTAACGTTTCCACTTAACCATAAATATGCAAGACCTCTTTGTATTTTCAGTGCATACGTATATTATTGCATCTACCAGTCATATTGATAATGACAAGTTCATTAAAGCCTGTCACAGATGAATAAACAGAAATGAATGCTAGATTTGAGAGCATTATTTCACGTTTATATTCTTGACAGACGACCAACAAAATCACAAATAGGATTAATTTACTAGTTTTGGGTTAGTCAGGCTGTTTTGAAGACATCTGTAGCATCCACACCACGATCCTGCAACCATTTGTTAATCACCTAATTGAAGTCAGTGCATAATAACAAGCAAAAGGGTTTTAAAGGAGACATATTATGCTTTTCCAATTTTTCTTTCTAGTTTGTTATGTAGTTTTTTTTGTGTATATAAAAAGGTCTGCAAAGTTTAAAGCCCAAAGTCTGTGTTAAAGGAAGCTCTTCTCCTGAAGCCAGTAGTCCGACCGATACTTCAGCATCGCGTTTGCATAATGGACACCTAGTAGCTAGTCTGGCACGTACCCTAACAAAGCTAGGTAAATCGAGAGTGGCAATCAGGAAGCGTTTAATAGCTGCTTCATCTTGCAGTGGAGACATTGTACCCTTAAGTGCACAAAAGCAAGGTCTCTCTGTCTTCACTTCCAAAAGATAATGGGTTGAAGAGCCAGGGGTTGAAATTTATTTTTAATAACATCCCCAACCTTTTCTTATTCCAGTCATTTCATCTCATGCTTCCTGGTTATCGCTAAGCTGGAGCTCAATTGCAGGCCTCGGCCAACTTGCAAGCTAACACAAGAGATAAGGTTATTGTTTATCAATGTTAACATGTTTAACAGTCTTCAAAGTTTTCGACCATTAGCTTTGGGTACTGTTGCTGCTACTCTGTTGACTTACAGTACGTGCTCGCATTTTATTTTTATCTTTGATTTTGGACTTTGGATTTTAGAACATGGACATGAACTAGGGATGCCAATAACCTAAGCTGAGTTAGCCTAGCTGTTTACTGACCTTGTTTCAAGCCTGTTGCTGTTGCTAGCGTGGGACATTTTTACACAAAGGTCAAACACTTCTATTTTACAGTGTATATTTTCCCCAGTCATCATTATTGTTTACGGGCAGGGGGAACCTTAATGAGACAGGAGCTTCAGACAGAGGCTGAGAGGAAACGATTCGGCAATGGACAGTGATGTGTTTTCTTAATATTAGAGCATGTAAACCTTTTCAAATAACAACCCACAATAAAATGTTGAATCTAATAATGAGTATAAGATGTCTCCTTTAAGAAAGACAAACACTGGCTCTTTCTGTTGTTTATGTTGCACAATTTCCAATTCTTAGGACGGAAAAGTCTGAATAGCTAAGTCTACAGTAAACTAACACATCAAACAGCATCTTACCAAAAATCTACAGGCCATTAACAGTCAGGGAATCGATGCCACCCAATATTGCCCTCTTGAATACTTGCAACCGGAATTCACATTTTAAATTAAATGTGTTAGTATTGCCAATATATCACAATTTCTAAATAACCAACTGTCAAATCCTGAATTGTACAATTTGATTGTGTCATCTAAAAGCACAACGTGTCTGTTGACAAGTGCAGACTGCTGAGTCGTACTTTAAGAGTGACATTGGGAAGCATATTTTTAGGATTAGTGCCAAGGGGTAAAACTGAGAACTTACACAGGTGATCCTGTGCCATGTTACAATGCACTGACTAATCTTGAAAATCCTTCTCCCGCTCTTTTTGCTACTACGACCTAGCCTCCGTTTTGGATTTTACGATGGTGATGACACTGGTTGCAGCTACTTTACCAGGGATGAGGGGACCTATGACAGATGCCATTGGTCCCCTGGCTGAGGTGACAGGGTTGCGGGCCACAGTCCTGGCAAAGCTCTGGAGAGCCTCATACTTTGAACGCAGAGCATCCAGCTCCACCTTCATGCTGGCATTCTCTGTGGCCAGCTTGTCCACTTCCTGCTGCAGCTGAGCCTTTTGCTTCTCCAGCTCCTCTTTCTGGGTGACACGCTTTACCCGGCAGCTGGCAGCATAGCCCCGGTTCTTAAGGGTGCGCCGCCGCTGTTTCAGCTGCAGGATCTCCTCCTTCGTCAGCCCCCGTAGATGCTGGTTCAGCTCCCGCACTGACATGGTCACCAGCTCGTCATCTGTCAGGCTGGTGCCATTTTCCCCCGGCTCCCGTTTCACCTGCACATAGGAGTTAGTAAGTGTTATGAATAAAATGATTCACATTGACACAGTGTTACTTTTGTGTCATGCAAGTTATTTACCTTCAAGGCCTTGTTTCCCTTGTTTTGGGTAGTCATGCCACGAGTCCACCTGTAGTGCTGGTTGTTCTGCGGGTAAGAAAATACTATTAGTATAATACCACTAGAAAAAACTTAGGAGGAAGCAAATTTCTTTGAAATATTAAGAATGTACTAAAGCTCAATGGAGCTACACTGTGACTCAGTCCTTGCACAAAGGGGGTCAAGGACTCCAGACTTCCTTGTAAGTGTTGCCAAGTCTGTTGAGCGAATCCTAGCTGGACTATTACTGCCACCACGGACAAATAACTTGCTGGCATATGCACTTCCCCCTCCAACATATAGGTCAGTTTGAGTAGGACGAGGCCGAACAAGTCAACGGAAAGTGCCTCAAAGATTTCTCACTTGAATCCTGCATTGCATTCAAAGAGTAGTCGGGTGAGTCACAAGGAGACTGGCAGCATTTCACAATGATTTCTTGGAAAACAAAACTCAAGATTTTCTATTTTGTACGGCCTTTCAGGGCACAAGGAGCCAAGGATATATGAATGGACTTAAAAAGAATGAAGCTTTTTTTCAGTACATACATCATTACCTAAAACACATTCATAAAAAGGGGCACAGGACAGAGTTTCACAGGATAAGCCATCCAGCCTACACAGACACACCTGTCTAGATTTATGTGGGACTATGATCCCATAAATCAATGAAATAAAGGGATATGCTCAAACCACTGCAGAGCTTCAAATACCATCCAGAATAAAAGCACTGCACTGCAGTTTATTCTGCAATGTCAGTACTGAGGGAGCACCAGGAGAAGACGCTGGGCTGGAGAGAAATGTAACCCACTGGTGTTAAGACAGACATAAGGTTGGGTGCCTTTCACCGTGTGAGCTCTGTCACCAGATAAGTACATGCTCACATCAACACGCACACACTCATGGCCCTGGGCGCTTTACAGTACACACAGTAAATGCTGTGTCGGTGACACAGGCATCCACCACAGTCAGCCCAGCCAGCACATTGCCTTGGTAAGCTGATTTACACAGCCCATCAGTGTGTGCTTGTACAGAGCACATAAACAAATGCATGTGGGCTCTTACAACTGCATCAAAAGAGGAGACAAAGAATCCAGAGAGGAACTACTGTCTGTGAACAATGTTTTTGAAGCATACATGCTCAGTAAGCCAGTCATCATGTGCATGTGTGATCTGTGCGGAGAAGCTCTGTGAGCGAAGAAAAAGAAAAAAGAAGCACGTGAGTCGCAGCTCTGCAGTGCACTAAGATGGCCAGGATATTTCCATGGCAACAATAGTGTGCTACAGGTGGACCGGTCACCTGAGCCAAACAGGGAGAGACAGGCGCTTGTTAAAAATGACCTGAATACGACACTATCACACAGGCTGGGGACATAACATGAGGTCAGATTGTGACTTGGATTCTTGATGCTTTCACTTCAAAGAGTCCTCTGGCTGCACATAAAATGGCAATGTTTCTCCGTGCTGCGGATGCCCATTTAAAAAGCCTTTCAGGATCTGCAAAGGACTTTTTAAATGTGATACTTTTCATCTCTGTTGGGATATCTATGAATAGCTGACTGATAGTAACACCTACGTTTCACTGGCCTTTGTGGTGACTCATTTCCAGTAAGCATTTGGACCACAGATGCAAAACATAATGGGATAATGGTCTGCCTGATGATGCACAGATAATGGACAAATAGACAGGAAAGTACTCCACTAATAGCTACTGGGGTGAGAGTGTGTGGGGGGGGGGCTGCATCTTCCAAATTTCATACTAAACCTATCAATTTCCCCTCAGCAGCTTGGACCCAACATCGTTCAAAAACAAGTTGGAGTCTTGAAAATGCAGGGAGATGGGACATTGTCCAGGTCGAGGAGTTGTACTCTGTCACACAGCTGTGTAGGGTAACATAGTAGGCATGGCTTGGCACGCTGAAAAGCTCACCATATGACACTGTGAAAGGACTGTGCCCAGGCTGCAACCCTCCAGCACAGGCTGCTGCCAACAGACGGCTACCAATGACAGGGCATGGCAGCACAACACAGACAAGGTCCAATGCACAGCTGCTCCCCTCCACTACAAGGCATTTCATACCTCGCAGAGACGCACACACACAGCGAGGCAAAGAAAGAAAGGAAAAACACACTTATAACTCCTCCTACAAAATGACAGGGAGATTTTAGACTTGATTGCAAAAGAATGCCTTTGCATTTGACAAGTTCACTCTCTCTACGGTCACAATCAAGTACATGTATTTTCTCCTCTAGTGAGTTCAGGTGTTCTGTGTGTCCCTAATAAAAGGAGCAGAAGGTGAAAGCTGCAGCTTGGAGCACGGGGTCAGCGGAGAAAGGGAGCAAGAGTGGGGGACACAAGACATCTTTTGTCAGAGCTTGCTGAATTTTTATGAATCGCCTGGAAGAATGCTGACAAATCAGAGCTGATTGCTTGTGGAGGAGAGACATCACACCCACAGGAAATAGAAAATGCTGAGTGTGGTCACCCAGAGAAAGAGAAGGAGGGGATGGTGAGAGAGAGAGAGAGAGAGAGAGAGAGAGAGAGACGGACAGAGAAAGAGGGTGAGAAGAAAAAGAGAGAGAGCAAACAGCCTTGTGAAAAATGCATGCTCGACACATTTAGAGGAGCTTGAGAAGAACAGGTTGAGCGAGAGGGAGAGAAAAAAATACTGATCTCAGCAAGGACCAAAACCAAGGTGCCAATTAGGAAGTTGTGAAGTTGAACTAACACGATGAGAGCAACCCAGCCAACCTTCAACCGTTGTCTGTGTTCATCTAAATCTATGGAGGGCAGCTCACGAAGGTGGGGTCGCCTTAGGTTGAGATTCAAGTGGGGCCAAAAAAAAGTCTGGTGGGATAAATGCTGATGTGACATGATAGGTCCAGCCTTGAGCCCGTGTCATGTTTTAATGATCTCATCCCCTCCACAGACTCTCTCCAGGGGGGCTGCCAAGGATGGACACCATTAGCTAGGGGACCCTTTGTTGAGGGGGAACCGAGGCTACAGCATCCACACACTGCATCCCCTGATGAATATTTATCACTGTCGTTCACTGCCTAAGGTAGGGATGGGAGACAGAGGCGGGGGTGGGAGGCTGAATAAAGATGCTCAGGAGGTGATTCCTCAAGGATACATCCAAGGCTCGTCCATCAACGGTTGTCTCTAAAATGGCGGTAGGCTGGTGGGGGCGGCGAGTGGGGAGGTGGGGGTGGCGGTGAATTTCTGGTACTGAAGGTGGCGAGGATGGTGGCTGACGGCTGCAGGGAGAGCCAGCTCCACTTGACAGCAGTGTAACAAGATTATCAGGGCCATAAGTGCAAACAAAAACCCCAGCAACCTGCCTCAGAACCCAGATTACGACAGCGCCCGCTCTCTGAATACTAAATATGGCTGGGGAGGACTAATGGGGTGCGAGCTTCACGGAGACATGACAGCGGATTGCACATCACATATCTGATCGCATGCGCACGGGTCCACACAGAGACAGATTACTAAAACCACACAAGCACATATAAATTCAACTTGTCATTATCAATTCTTGAAATGAGGCGTCCGAGCACTTGGCACTGGCAGCCTGCTAATGAAGTGAATGAAACTAGACAGTGGACGTGCATGCTGATGAAAGACTGTTTTCAGGAAAGCACAGGCAGCATCCAACAATGGCAACTCAGTTCTGTGAAACTAACAGCTGAATATTATTTCACACCAAACAATACATTTCACTCCAAAAGAGAGGAGACGCAATGTGGCTCATTTTGCTGATAAAACGGATTTGAATCTTTTTCTTCTGCTTCGACCAAACTTGTAAAGAAGGTCTGTAAATCTATAGAGCTATGGCCCAGATGGAAATAGGGCCCTATAGGAGACAGAATGGTTTAGCACCACTTTTAACTCAGTCTTTGCAAAAACCTGCAGACGATTAACACAACACAAAAGAAGAGAGGTGGATGTGAAGTTGTTACGATCACCTACTCAGTTTCCCCTGATCAATAATGTATGAGGTTGTAGCCTATATCATGGACTTTCCACAGGAAACAGACTGATGATAACCACAAAGATAGCAAAAAGCATGAGTGAAAAATACTGGAAATGTCAACGGCTGTCTCATCACACTTAAGATCATTAATTTATACTGTGTGCTTATTTGTTGTACTGTCCACTTTCTCTTTCAGGGTTGAGATTCTTAATGCAGCCAGCCAACATGCATGCCATAAATAGTCATTCTCAACACTTCATGCCTGATCAGAGTCACTACTTTCTCCCCCTCCCTTCTAATTCAGAGTTGAAAAGATCGCTTAGATATTCAGATCTAATCATTCCTCCCTTCAGCTGAGTGAAGTCAATTATCAAGCGAGCTCCATGTGTCGGGCGCCATTTAACTGCAAATTAAAAACCAGACTCCTCTGATAGCTCGGGAAGAGTTACTGGAAGACTGGTGTAAACTTGTGTATGGAGACAACAGTGTGTAAAGCGTGTCTGTGTGAGAGAGAAGGGTATGACTGGAAGAGGGGAGGGAAGCTATTAACTACTAAGTATTCAGAGCGTGAAATAAGAGTGACAAAAAGGGGGAGAGGGGAAATCATTCAGCAGCTTTCAGAGGGAAATGTGATACGCTTGTGGTAGAGGGGAAATACTGAGCCAATACTTTTGATTTGGGTTTAGGGCAATATTAAAATAGCAAGTAATCAAAATCATATCTCAACTTTTCAAAAGCCTAACTCCTGAAATAAATACGATAGTGTTGTTAGCAACAATATGTTCATCATCCTGATAATGCTCTAGTTTGCGGATAGATGTATGGGCCAGGTTTTATTATGACAGATATATTTTAAAAAATGGGGATTTTATGTTTTATCCAAAGATATAGATGCTTGCTGCAGAAGAGCCCCTTTTCCACATATGACTATATGACAATTAAAAAATGTGATATCAAATATAATAAATTATAGGAATATTGAAATACTACTGCACAACCAAAACTGAGAAAAATATAATGGGTGTGAGAAACGTCTGAGTGAATACAGGGCCAGAAGCTTCTGATGTCTACATGT